CCATATCTCTACAAGATTCTTTCCAAAATGAAAAACTATCGATATCTGCTTTTTCTATCATATTTTTCACATTTGTGTTTAAAGACGAATATATAAGGTGACTACGATGCATATATTTTATGGTAGATGTCTGATCAGTGGCGCAGCCAGAATTTTGTATTAGGGGGGGTTTTAAAAAAAATTGGGAGAGCAGTAAAAAACCGAGAATATATTATAGAACACAACACATAACGTTTATATGAGGAAATTTAAAAACAAACATAAATAAAAAATCTGATGTAGTCAGTTTACTCAAACAGCGAACATATAAAATACATTTGAAAAATATAAATGATAATAACAATATAAAAGTTTACAGATTTGCATATATCTACCCATAATCAAGAAACGAAAAACATAGTAAGATTATAAATTTAAATGTACCTACTTATTATTTATAATAAAATTGTAAGACGGCGAGATTGGAGAGCTAAGACATCAAGCACTTCATCTTCCAGAATAGGAATATCTGGATGTATATACATCAAAGCTAGGCCGCTTAATCTGTCCTCGCTAGTAGCATTCCGCAAATAATTTTTTAATAATTTCAGGGAAGAAAACGATCTCTCACAAGAACATGTTGTGACTGGTAAAGTTGCCATTATAATTAAAAGTTTGTGAATCGTGGGAAATAAATTTTTATTGCATCTTTCCAAAGCTTCAATCGCACTTCGTGGCTTTTCTGTTTCATCTTTGATAAACTGGACCCAAAGAGTAACTTCTCCCATAGCACCAGAATCGTCCAGTTCATAAAATTCCAAGAGCTGTTGGGTGGAATTAAAAACTTCTTTAATGTCTAAACTATTATTATTGCATAGAAGTTTTTGAAAAGGTTCAAGAGTATTTTTATGATTTAAAATTTTTGCATCTATTGCCTGTATTATTTGGTCGAGAACCGGAATATAAATAGCTCTTCGATAATACTCTTCCGGTGATGATCCTGGCACATTATTTCTTTTAGTTTGCCTATAAGTGGTCCTAGGTTGTAAGATTGTAATATCAAACTCATCACAAATCCTTTTTGTTTCCAGTTAAATATCTGAAAATGACTTCTTGTCGTCTTGTCTCATTTTTGTTAAAGATTTATTGACATTTTCAGCTGATTGAAGAGCTAAACTCAGGTCCAAATTTGGTGTCTGTAAGTACTTGCTCAGTGGTAAAGTTAGCGAAAAGACATATTTTACCATAAAAGTACATAAAAGAAAGCTACTTTGACAAATTGCCGATGAAAGTAATTGAGCGTCAGTTGCTGTTTTTTTATCTGTCCATGTGGAAATCTCAAACAAGGCGTTTATTAGTGGGTTTAGAAGAGACACGAATGCATTCACGGCGTCGTGTCTCTGAATCCATCTGGTGGGACATAATCTTTTAAGTTTTTCTATTTTAGGTTTTTCTTCTAATTTGTTGATCTCATGTTCCAGCACATGTTGCCGTTTGGGAAAATTAAAAAAATTGTAAACCGTTTCGATAGTACCCAGACAGTTTCGTACTTCTGCTACTGAACATCCATCAGAAAGTGCTAAATTGAAGCAGTGTGACGAACAGTGAACGTAGAGGGCTTTGGGGTAGCTCTGCCGAACAATTGCTTGTGCTCCTCTTAGAGCACCACTTATTGCACTAGCTCCATCGTAACCTTGACCAACCAGATTTTTTACATCTAGCCCTACTTCTACCATGGCATTGCATATACTATTTACTAAACCAGCGCCTGTAACATCAGAAACAGGAATAAACTGCAAAAATTCTTCCCTGATCATGTCATTTTCCACAAATCTTACACATAATGACATTTGAGTAGTACCACTTATGTCGGTTGTCTCGTCACATAAAACCGAGAAGTTTTTTGCAGCATTTACTTTGTCAACGAGTTTTTTTAATAAAATCGAATTGAACGATGATATTATTTCATTCTGAATTTGCCAGCTAATATAAGTTGCATTAGCACCTGCTGTACTTAGGTGTTTTGCTAAAATATGATCTCCTGCCTCCATTCGAAATTTGAGTAGAGACCGAAAATTGCCCTCACCTTTGACTGGAGGTTCATTTATATCGAGTGGTCCGGAGTCACGGTGACCTCGAAATGAGTTTCCTAATCTAGCAAGATATATGGCAGTTTTAATTATGGATTTAAGGCACTTCCGATTATTAATTATTTGATCGTTTCGATGTTTGTCAATTTTTAAAATAACATTTTCAGACTTTCTCATCATAATATCTAAAAGATGATTTTTTTTACCTAGATTAACTTTTTCAATTTAAAAATCGTCTAGCTCGCGTCGCGTCTGGGGGGGGGTTTAACCCCTAAAACCCTCCTTCTCGCTGCGCCACTGTGTCTGATAATACTTTTATTACATTTGCATTTGTTTTGATGCGTCTATTTCTGTTCCATCCAAGCCTAGCTTACAGAGGTTCAGCTAAACTTCTCATCACCTTTCAAGTTGGTCTTGCAGCATATATAAATAGCTGTCGGTTTTATTTGATGACGTGACTAGTCACTAAACTTTTTGGTTCTGAGTTTAAATGAAAGTATTCTAGATTTTAATTTCGCAAAGAAACTTTCATATTTTGCCATTCTCCAAACCGTCTTGCAAATATTTTCCCAACTTTTTACCATTTCTTCATTGATTGGTTTTCTGAGAGAAATGTTGCTATTAGGATTTGCACCCAGAATATCCTGATACTAAATTTGATCCTTACTATTCGAACGTCTGTTCTAGTGAAGATGACGGGTTTAATGTATATACCTCTTAGATTCTGATTCTGAATCAACTTAAATCTATATTCAATCAAAGGCTAATTCATGTGCACATAAAGGGGCATTTTTTTTAAGGTGCAGGATTTACCTATACAGTAATATAATCAATGAGCTTTGCGTAGCATTTTTGCGTCTTTCCATTTTATAAGCATAAGACCAGAGTTACTAGACATGTATGTGTCTATAATGCAGAATTTACATAGTACCTACATTCTGCTTCCAAAGTTTTTTAATGTTTACAAAGTAGCATTTTTCGCGTTGCAGTTAGCTGGGCTTGCATAATGTATTAGATCAGAGTTAACACATAAAGTAGCCTCCTCTGTATAGTTATTTATTATTTGCAGAATTTACATATAAAGTAGTATCTTCCGCCACAAAATTTTTGCGAAATTTGCGCATAAAGTCGCATTTTTCGCTATGCATACGGCTTATATGAATGATGTATCTTCTGCATATTTACATGTCGTCTAAATTCGGAAATTTACAGTAATGCAGTATCTTCTGCAAGCTAAAAATCAATTAAATTATGAAGAAAACCATTCTCAAACCTGTACTAGTATAAGATCAGAGTTAACACATAAAGTAGCCTCCTCTGTACATGTCTTTGTCTATAATGCAGAATTTACACATAAAGTAGTATCTGCCATTATCAAAGTTTTGCGAAATTTGCTCATTAAGTAGCATTTTTCGTTTTGCAGACGGATTTTATGAATGACTGCACCGTTGACACATAAAGTAGTATCTTCTGTATATTTATTTGTTGTCTAAATGCAGAAATTTACACATAAAGTAGTATCTTCTGCAAACTAAATATCAGTTAAATAAAAAGAAAAACATTATTCTCCTACCTGTGCTCTGAGTTCCTTCATTTCTTTTTCAATTTATCGTATTTCTTTATCGTATTTCTAATACGATTTTCGATAGTTTTTACCCTTTTACACTTTTTTATAATCGCTAAAATGTGGTCGGTTTTACGATGTGAATCATGCGACACGATAATTGGTAATGAGTAATGTAGACAGAGCAGAGAGTGACGTAAAATTTTAAATTTAAACATGTCGGTCAGCGGCGTAACATAGGTATACTACATGGTTATCTTTATTTCCACTAACAAGGATATGAAGCATAATTGTAGTCATAAGCGACTTGTGCGGCATGAAGAAAAGTTATCAATAAAAATGTCTCATACCCCTCCCAAGCATTTTGGATTTGCAGTTTTCTTGTATGACGAGGTTGTCACGTATTACTGGTTTGGTTCTTCTTGAGGGCCCACTGCCTGGACGCCACCGGTCTTTGGACCCGTAGACCGACCTGCCAGGAGGTATTATTAACTTGTATTTAGAATTTATATTCTGTTTTTATTTTTATTTTTATTTTTATGTTATTCATCTTCGATTTCAACATAGTACGGCAATTTTTTGAAAATGTATTGTAAAAAGTAACTCGCTCAATAATGAAGTTATATAAAATGTCTCATTTTCACACTACTTGTTCCTACTTAGTGTATTTTTAATTATCTATTCAAATGGTTAATTGAATATTGAACCAACTCTATCTTCAATAAAGAATATTGTAGTAAAATTGCTGTTAGAAACTGTTTATTTAAAAAAAGTTAGCCATTAGTTAAAAAAAAAAAAAATGAGAAATTAAAGAAAAGCATAATAATTACTTCGTCAGAATCAAAACCGTTTGAGGCTCACCGTCAGTGGCAATCGTACAGTAAATTATTAGAATATTCCTAAAAGTGAGATTATTTTAAGTATTTTAAAGGATAACTGTTAGTAGTAAAATAATTTATGACTGTAATCCTTTAATCCAAAACTGGTAAAATTAAAACGACTCTGCTATAGTGGTTTTATTCTTGTTATTTCGTTATTATCACTCGTTACCTGCTATTAATTCATAAAAAATGCTTTAATACCGAAAAAATAGCTTGTTAAATACAAATTTATAGTCTACTGATAATTTTAATAACAAAAATATTCGTTGCAAGCATAGTACTTTTAAATAATAGTTTATATAACGATGACAACGATTTTCAATTCAAACCAACCATAACAAAATATTTTCTTGTATTTCTTACATTATTCGTCAATGTCACATCTAGATAACTATTATTTTACAAAAATGGTCGTCTACAAACCAATTTGCGGAAGTCTTCACAAGTATTCCACCCAAATAGTTCTGGTATTCGTATTTTTTTTAGTTTTATTTACGTTTGTGAGCAGTCCAATCAGGAGCAATATATTACAACACCAACAAACCTTTGCTGGATATATACCCGAGAACGGCACCCTCAAAATGGAGTCCGAATCATCAGAATTGACATTGCCCTACCAATTTACTGCAGAAGAATGCATCAAAGAAGGCCGAGTGTCTAGTGATGACGTTGAAGAAATAAGAACGTTTGTGTCAAATTTGAATGACAAATACGTTCCTGCAAGGTAAGAATTTCCTAAAATATCATTAATATGGCATTCCTACTTTCCAAGTGAAAATTAAAGGAATTTTACGAAGGTAATTCTACAGATTGTAAAGAAAAATATTTCAAATAAGGCTTGAAAACCACGTATAAAAGTAACTGTTTATTTTATTGATCTAATAGTAATTATTTTATTCTAGGGTTCAGGATGAGATGATTGTAATATTCCTATTATCTTGTGCCAATGACGTTCAACTAACGAAAAAAACTATAATTTCCTATTACCTATTAAAATTTGAAGGACCAGAAATATATGATGATAGAGATTTAAGTAACAGCGATATACAGTTGGCACTGAATACTATGTAAGAATGGAGTTATCTACTAAAAGTATTTCTAAAGTAGGCCATGAGAAAAAATACCACCTGTCGGAATTCTTTTTTAAATTTACCTACCTACTTATTTATTTATTATAATTACCTTTTGACAATAATTTATATTGTATGGATTTCGTCAGTATTGTATCAACAATAATTACAAAGAGTGCTTAAACACAACAGTATAGTCAGTAAAATTCATTTTTCTAATTTTGACATATAAAGTGACATTTTTTGTAATCGCAGCAAACAGTTGCATAATATTATGAGACTGGTTTCAAAATAGTATATTATATACCAAGGGACTAAAGTGCTACTTTTAATCCCGAAAGTGATTAAAACGCACTAAAACTTAGAAATTTACATGATAATAATTATGTGAAAAGAAACACTGAATATTATTTCATAAGGATTATTTAATCGATTATTTAATGATTATGAAGTTATTGAAAAAAAAAGCAAAATTAAAAACTAACCTGTCGGGGGTTTGAACCTGGGTCCTCTGCTTACAAGGCCAGCATTCTGCTGTTGCTCCACACTGACAAACTAAGGTTATTGCAGAATTTTACTAAAGTATGGGACTTACGTAAACGTGTAATAAAAAAAGTGTGTGCTTAAGACCGCAAGAGAAGGGAAAACCTTTACATCACACACAAAATAAAATGTATTTAAAATAAATATAAACAGTAATGCAGTCATATTTTTTTTCCATATTTTTTTTATTAGGTTTGTTATTTGCGGGACTAAAATTTTTTAATCCCTTGGGACTAAAATATTTTAGACCCAAGGGAGTAAAAGTGGCACTTCAGTCCATAAAATGAGGGAGTAAAATGCATGTTTAAGTCCCTGAGGAACAAGAAATTAATTATGTCACCATTTACGGAAAGAAATTAAACTAAATCTTTTTTGATTTTAAAATCAATAATATACATTATAATTGAAAGTTTATATATGACTTGGTCAAACTTACAACCTAATAAAAATGTTGTTTTGGTCCTTATTTTCAATTCTAAATCAGCGCAAAACAATTAAAACACAATACAAGACAAAATAATCCACTTTTTTGAAATCTAAATAACTTTAACAAGAAATATAAACACTATAATAAGTCGTTGAGAAAAAATTAATAATATGATTTTCTATTTGTCAATAAAAGGATAAAGATAATTATATTATGCAACTAACAATACAAGAAATGTCGGTAATTTTATATCAAAACACCATTTTATAAATAATCTAGTCAAAATTAGAAAAAATATTGTATGCAACACGTTTCGAAATGCCGTTTTATGTAACGCGTTACATAAAATAAGGCATTTCGTTGCTGGTTTCGTAAATAGCTATTAAACTATATAGTGCCAGACTAAAGTCCCCTCCCCCTCCTGTATATTTTGAACGGTTATACTTAAAATAATAAAATTATTTGAAATAAAAAACCAAATGGATATAAACTCCTTTTATAGTAGTAACTGGTGACGTTATCGTCGTCATAGATGGCGCCACAGTGTCAGTGTGACGAATAACTTTAAATGGAATCCTATGGCAAGTGACACCTCGTTTAAAAGGTCTTTAAAATATTAATTCAACCATCACAATTTGTGTAGGGTTTAATTTTGTTTCGATGTATTTAACAAATAAATACTAAAATTTCAATATAGCATATAATTAATACAGATTCAAAAGTCTGCCTTATAATAATTTTTCAAAATGTGTAATATCTACTTCCTGACAGTAGAACGTTATATTGCGAAAGTCACGTTCAAATGTTTCAGTGGAAATTGATATACAATCTTTAATAATTCGTAGCGTAAACCTTAGATTTAAGATTACCCACACAGAAAAATCTAAAGGTATTATACCTATGGTCCGATGACGATTCGATGGGACCTCGTCGTCCAATCCATCTACCAGGATATTCTGCATCCAAATAACGTCTGACTGCAGCATAATAGTGTCTTCTTGGAACGTTATTTCCAAATTACCAAATTCATCTGGATTATCAGCCATCATTTCTAAAATTAACGACTCAATAGCTATGTCTAACATCTCCAGATAAACTTTACCTGTTAACTAGACATTCAAAAATATAGGCCCAACTACGTGGTTTCACAGAATGCCTGCCCAGACATTTATTTTTTCTGTAAAATGTGTATTTTTTACAAAACACATAAGAATTTGTGTCGCTCCAGACTCCAGTAATTCACATTTTGAGTGCTCATATTTCGACTGAAATTGAAAGTACGATCATCACTAAAGCAAATTGTTTTTATATATTCTTGGTACCCGATCAATTCTATACTCGGACAAAATATTGAAGAAGGTGATTCCTCCCTGTTCACGTACAACAATCATACTATACCAGAGCATAATGAATGGAATCACGCGCTTAAAACTGCAGAACTTATCGGTATCACGTGCCAACTAGTCATAAATGCATGTTTATTGCCAAAATGAATTACGCCAGTGGCGTATAAAAACTATTGGCAAATTAAATGCGGTAATAGTAAATAATATTATATGAAAGTAGGTTGGTTATCTATTTTTGTAGTAATAATCATTTATGTTTATAATTTTGTTTTGTTTATTGTTTAAATATGTAAATATTAGGCCAGTGGCGTAGAAACACTATTGGAAAATTAAATGGGGTATTATACTAGAACAAAATATTGAAGAAGGTGCGCCTTAAAACTGCAAAAGGTATCGTTATCATATCAAAATGCACTCTTCCAGTGTCGCAGAAATACTAAATTGGCAAATTAAATGGGTATTTGTGAATATTACTAGATGAAAGTAGGTTGGTTTTCTATTTTTGTTATAATAATTCATCTATGTTTATAATTGTATTTTGTTTATTATAAAAATATGTAAATTAAGCTTGTTATCACTTACTTGAATTCTAAATCTATGAAGTTTTGTAATCCATTGATTCTGCAGAACTATCACTGGAATCGTCTTTATCGTCGGAACTTAAAGTTATGACTAAAGGTTCAACTACCGTTTCGATCATACCGTCCAAGCGCCACATATTATTTTCTTCCTTATTAACATGGGAAATAGCATTCTGCCAATCTTCAGGTTTTATACGTTCTATACCGGTTTTTAATAAACTTTGAACGTCGGCTATTTTAAAAGTTTTATTTTCTCGAGCTACAAACCCTTTCACTTGCGCCCAAATTAGTTCAATGGGATTGAATACGCAGTGATAAGGGGGAAATCTTAGTACCGTAATACCACGATCACGAGCCATTGTGTCGACAACATATTGAATATATTTATGGCGGTGTTCCTTTATTAGGTCCATTAATTCCACTTTAATTTAAGCATCTCCTCAGTAAATGTTATTGCTTTATCCCGCAGCCAGGTTTGCATATCCGCTTTCCTACTGGACATTATCGGAATGCGTTCAACTCGTCGACTGTGATAAGAAGCGTTATCTAGTATAATAACTGAATTTCGTTCTACACGCTGTAATACTTCAGTAAACCATTTTTCAAAGCATTCCACATTCATGTCCTCATGGTAGTCTCCTGTATTTTTCGATATAAACACAAGATCGCTATTTTCCAAAAATCCACTGTCACTTTCGATATGGGTAACAATTAGGCGCTGTCCTTTACCTGATGCTGCTTTCAAACCTGTAGATAATCCCTCTATAAAAGCTTGGCGATGACTAGTTACAGAAGTATCTTGCCATATCTTAGATACCGTGTGTCCAGCATTCACCCACGTTTCATCGAGACAGTATATCTTTTTTTAGCGGCTCTAAACTCTTTAATATTTCGTAAATAACGCCGTCGCCAGGACACTATATCTGATCTCTCAATTAAAATTGATTTCCCACACCGTTTGACAAAACGAAATTTTAGGCCCCATAAAATTTTTCGTAAAGTTTCACGGCTCATTAATGGAATTTCTTCGTTTTCTCTTAATTTCGTAAGAACAACTTTAAGTGTTGGGGCTTTGTTTTCAAAAAAAAAGAATGTACAGTTCTTCGAATGATTTGTTTTTGGTTATCGTCCAATTTCAACAATTTTCGACCACGGGTATGCGTTTTAGGGGCTTCTAAGGAGCCTTTTTTGTCTTTTCGCGTACAATACGTTCAATTGTTGAAACAGATACTCCAGTTAAAAAAGAACTGCGGTTTACAGCTTCATTTGTAGGAAGTGTTTGTTTCAGCCCATCAAACCCCTTTCGTATAATGTTCTTTTCATCCTTTGATAAAGGCTTTCGCCGACGTAATTGGGTTTCACTTGGACCCGCCTCTGAATCCATTACTATTGTAACAATATAATTCTACTATTAAATTGTTTTTATTAAATTTATAAAGACACCAATATTTTACTATTTAATAAACTTTTAAAGTACCTACCTAATATACTACACAATAAACATAACTCCTCGAATATGCACTACCACTACCAAATTGTAAGGCACAAACATGAACACCTACTCGTATATCAGAAAAGAGCACTTATACAAAAAATCTGATGTGTCCAACACATGACTTTCCTATCTAGTTATTATAGGCTTTTTCCGGTTATTTTGTACAACCTATTGCAGCACCTCTATAAATATTTAGAGGATAAACTAAATATATACATTTTCCCATACATCTACCTCGAAACATTTTTCTATAGATATTCATTGAAAACGAAAATACTGAAAAATTTAAATTTTTCCATTACTGTCCATTTTAGAAAAATCATATATAAACAAAAATAATAGATATCGATATCGCAAACAACTTTTAGTTGAACAATTTTCATAAAAATCAGAATTTTGCACATTTTGTCAAATTTCTCGAATACGGACCATTTCAGGAAATTTTGACAATCAGCAAAAATTATAGATAATAATATTAGAAGTAACTTTTATTTGAACAATTTTCTTCTACAAACATAAATAAGAGACATATTACATAAAATATAAAAACAGCCTCCCATAAAGTACCCCCCCCCCCCAGATGTTCCGAATTTGTCCAAAATTTA